AATTTTAGTTTACAGTGATTCTAGATTCATAGCTTCTTCCTGTTGCCTGGAAGAGGAAGATGAAAATCTTCTTTTGGGGGACACATTTTAATCCTCAAAGGATTCCTAGACATAAGGAACCGAGGAATATGATCTCTTATTTTTAAAAAATGAGGAAACAAAACATCATGAGCACGTGTTGGTAGAAATCATATATTCAAAAAATATGACGCAAATGTTTAATATGTCTAAATAAATAAAACAAACCATTAAAATAATGATCGAGAGACAAAGGACAATCAAATTTCTCAAGGCACTTGAAAAAGGGCCAGTAAAGCTTCTAGAAGTGAAAGACACGCTATCATAAAATCAAAAATCAAAACCAGTTTTGGTTTGTTTGGTTTATAAAGCAGAAATGGAGTTTATTCTAATGATACACATAAGCCACTTATTAGATGTGCAAATATTTAAATTTCCAGAGCCTCAGATTTCTAATCAATAAAATGCAATAATACCATCTAACTCTCATTTAATAATTATAAGTAATTCTTCTAAAGCACATAGCCCTGTACCAATCTCATAGCTACATTGTTGTCAGGATAGGCAAGGAAAAGCCTGATGGTTTTACACTGTAGTGTCTTTCCATAAAGACAAAGGTTAGGTCTATAAATTTTTTTTTTTAATTTTATTTATTTATTTTTTAGGTATATAAATTTATTTTGGTCAGAAAAATAATCTTTGGGCTGTCTAGTTTTGTTCAAAGACAGTTACTTCCTATAGAAACCTCACTGCCCCAAAGGTTTGTTATATTCTGAATCTTCATTAAAAGTAACATCTCTTTTCACATCAACCCAGATAAAATATGTGCAGGAATGCCCAATTTTGCTGACACAGTATTGCTCTGAGATCAGTCAGAACTTGATATAAATGTAATCTTTTTTTTGTTTTGTAATCTTGAAAACACCACAAAATTGTTCAGTGTTGTTATCCACCAAATGACTATTAAGAAAAATATTTATTGATTCTTACCTTTATACACTGTCCTCTCATAGCCTACTTATTCATTGGAGACAGCTAATAATCACAAGATCTCTTATGTCTTAGACTAGCACTTCATATCCTTCGTTTATTTATTAAAAAATATATTTATTGAGTAAAGTCTGTTCTTTTATAATGTGACATTTTAATTCCTAAGAAACTTGCATTTATCAAAATGTGTAGTTAAGCATTGGTTTTATGATCGCAGAGAAATTGGGGATAGAGAATTTTAGAATTGTAACAACAAAGCTACCCCCTCCACCCCTGCCCATGCTGGAATCTCCATAATAAAAGTGTTTTTTAAGAAGTTGTAAGTGCGTGGCTATAAAACCTGAACACCACTGAACAACTGCAACATTTGACCCCGTCTAGCTTTTGCTGAGAATAGTGGCCTTGTTTTCCTATCACTGCAAAAACTATCGTTAGCAAAGCATCTGTATACATTTCTTCACTTTTATCACCTGCATGATGGAGCCCACGGCTGCTCAAACACAGCAGCTGTGTAGCAATGGTGCTCTTTCTTTCCTGCTTGTGTGCAAGCAGGGTTAGTTCCAGATGATTCTCACATGTAACCAATTGCTATCACGAAAGCACATTTTATTTCTGGGCAGAAAGATATATTTAGATCTGTGACTGTGATGCAGGACCTAACAGGTTTTTATCAAGGACTGGACCCTTGTCTATCTTTCCTTGCCTTTTACTCATCCTCCTGCCCTCTCCTCCACGCCACCCCAATATTCCATCTAGAGGTGTGGAACTTCAGACTGCTCATGGCTCATCTTATGGTCTCAGGTTCCTCATTTGTTAAATGGGAATAATAATACTGTACCTCTCTCTTAAAGTGTTAAGAATATTATTATTATTATTATTATTATTATTATTATTTTGGTGAGGAATATTGTCCCTGAGCTAACATCTGTGCCAATCTTCCTCTATTTTGTATGTGGGATGCCACCACAGCATGGCTTGATGAGCGGTGTGTAGGTCCACGCCCAGGATCCAAACCGGGGAACCCCAGGCCACCAAAGTGGAGCAAGTGAATTTAACCACTGCACCACCGGGCCGGCCCCTGTACCTACCTCTTAAAGTGTTAAGATTATGACAGATGATATGTGAACATTACAAAGCACAGTGTGTGTGTAATATGGATATATGACACACTTAAGTTACTTCTCAAATTGTGCCTTGTACTTTTATACTTGTGTGTGTTTTCCTAGCACTTCCCTCTCTGTAACCTCCTTGAGGACAGACATTGCAATTACTCATTTCTCTCTTTTTTTCTTTCTTTGCTGCAGCAGGTAATAGTGGGCCTTACTCATAGTACACCTTCCATTATTATACGTTGAATCACATAAAAGCACATTAATTCTGTCCCCCCATTTATTTGATCTTTAAAATAATTTTTACAATTTCTCTTACAGCTAGTTATCCTTTGTGAAACGTTACAAGGGAAATAGTCTTTTAAATAGGAATGCTTTGTTTTTCTTGATTCTAGGTCTATATTTCCTAAATTGTTCTCTGTTCTTTAAAATCTTAGCCGATATTTTGTGGAGAAAAAGAATTTGTGGTGAAATATGTTTACGAAGTATTGTATCTCCCCTGGTTGGAGATTATTATGGTACTTTGGCATGTTAAAGGCCTGGCATGTTGTTTTTGAGCCACTAATATTCTGAGATTTCTGTCAAGAACCCAATATATTGTATCATTAACTTTCAAATATCTTCTACTAGTAGCTTTGTTTTAAGGTTATTCTTTTTCTGTTCAGTGGAAATATCTTTATAAAAGCATTGTAGAATTTTAGTTGAGAAACTAAACACCTTTAGACAAGCACAAAGAATCCTATCCTAAATTCTACTCTTTAAATAAATGTTAAAATTATCTGCCAGCTTCATCACTGATGTTTTTTAAGATGGTCTTTAGAATTTTAAGATGGTCTTTAAAAAGATCGGTGCATTGTGGTAACTCTTTCATGCTGCAATCCATTTAATGTGGTGTTCATATGAAGATGCAAAAGCTCTGTTAGGATAGATATGGTGGTATGTTTATCTTCGAGTCCAAAATTGTATCACAGAAATAGTTGGCACATGGTACATGTTTGTTGAATGAATAAGCTGTAAAATGTGAATGACATGGATGTAACGAGAATTAAGCATATTGTGAGTATATGATCTACCAGTATTTTCTGAATTTCTGCTACGTGTAGAAAACTACCTTAAGCATTTAAACTTTGGTTATTTTTCCTTGAGTTACAATAAGTAGCTTTTCTATTAGATATAGTATTTTTTTTAAGAAGCACTCTTGCAAGTTTCCCTTCAGGATTTAAGTATATAATGTACATGTAGTAGTCATGATGGTCTAATTTCTGCTGCAGTAACTAGTTAACCTTGAAATATTCCTGAAAATGTGATGAAACACACAACAGATTTGTTTCTTACTCATACAGTGTCTTCTGTGGGTCCAGTGGCTTTCCAAGACAGCTTCCTTCAAGTGATAGTTCAGGGATTCAGTTGGCTTTAGTCTTCTGGTTCAACTCATGGGTTTTAGTTCCTGTCGAAGGGAAAGTTTTTCCCTGCCTCATTCCAGAAGTAACAAGTGTTGCTCCCACTCACAGCCCAGTGGTCAGAATTAGACATATGGCTCAATATAACCGCGAAAATCCCAGGAAGTATAGCCTACTATACCCAGGAGAAAAGGAAACCAGATATTGGCAATGACTAGTAGTGTATCACACAGACCACATGCCATAGAGTTCAGCAGTCAAAAGACTGTCCATTCATTAATTCATTTAACAAACATTTACCAAACACTTAACTGGTAGACCCACAGATGCCGAATCTTAAGTGACCTACTGTTGCAGGAGCTTCTAACAATAAAGACATGTATATCATAAGACTGACTACACAAATGTGATTTTTTGGACAGTTACTATTTTTGAAAAAAGTTACTTTTTTTTTATAACAGAAAAAAAGTTTTAAAATGTCAGTGTCTTACATATGTAAGTGTTTATTTTTCTTTAACATAGAGATATTTGGAACTAGGCAGTCCGTAGAGAATATGGTAATTTTACAGCCATCAACGATAAGTATTTAGACTGTCAAGTCAACATTTCAGACGCCGGAAAGGAGGAAAGAAAGGAGGAGGGATAAAGAGATGCAACTTTCAACTGAGACACCTTCCTTCAAGGAGCCTTCCAGTTGTTCCAAATGCACTTCCATTTACACCCTTAGCCAGAACATAGTCACGTAGCCAAATAGACGCAAAGGAGTCTGGGAAATGTAATATTTTGTCTGGGCACTTCGCTTCCCCGAATAAAATTAATGTTTTGTTACTAAGAAAGAATGGCATGATGAATGTCGAGTGAACAATTAGCAAGTTTTGTTGTAGTTAATAAGGATTTCACACACACGCACCCTCACACATACATGCACATTTGAATATACAATCACAAGTAGAGTAATTAGAGATTCCTTTGAGATTATTCTCCAGCTGTTTCTATGCTAGTAAACCTAACTAGGGCAAGAGGAACTGTGTTAGTTTCTTTTCTTTCTTCCTATTTCTTTTGTGTTCAGATAGTAAATGTTTCAGAAAATATTTCTGCTAGTGAATTTCCATTGAAGAGAACATTGTTTATTGAATTTAGACACAGTAAAACAATTGATATTTTAATTTAGTCGTATATAGTAATATGATCAGAGGTTTAACCTGTCCTTAGCTATCTGTCATGGTCCTATATACATTTCTCTATATTTTTTATTAATGTTTCCCTCAAAAAAGGCATGGTTAGAAACAGATGTACTTGCTTTAATATTGACAGTTCATAGACAACATTTCTTGTTCCTTTAGGCTTTTCACTATGAGAAACATTGAAATAAGGCCTTAAGCCGTCACAAAGCCTACAAATTGGATTCGGTGTTTTTGCTACGGTATAGAAAATAAATTTAACTTATTTTAATTTTTCCCACCTTTGTCTGCCTTCTCCACAGGTTATACATTGACGGTCCCTTTGGAAGTCCATTTGAGGAATCACTGAACTATGAGGTTAGCCTCTGCGTGGCCGGAGGCATTGGAGTAACTCCATTTGCGTCAATACTCAACACCCTGCTGTATGTCATTTTGATCCATTTTATTAGTCCAGATAGAGAACTGCCAATATTTCAGACATCTCTCTTTCAGTATGAAGTAACTCCTTACAGAATTCTACTTGTTGTTCAAGGAACTCCATTTACTGATTGATGAAGGGAATAATTCAGTGATTCTCAATATGTGTTCTATGGCTTTCAGCGTGCTCTCTTATAATATGTGTCACTATCACAATTATGCATTCCTCTGTCCTTTTCCTCTATTAAAATCATTCCGCCAGCCTCTATTTTTCTACTTCCTCATCAGTGGTAAGTGGCACTACTCATTTATTCAGTCAACAAATATTTTTGGGCACCTAGGTGCCAATTGATCTTAAAGGTTCTGGTAAGACAGCAGTGAGTGAAACAGACTCCCTGTCCTTCAAAAGCTTACATTCAAATGGGGCAGGTAAAAAATAAATCTTTGAGAAATTCATAAATGGCATTATTTTAGAAAATATTAGAACTATGGTGAAAAAAAGAGAGATTAATGGGATATAGAAATAAAGGGCCAGGGTTATTGTAGAATTGTGGTCAGGGAAAGCTTTTCTGAGGAAATGACAGATGAGCACATCATTCCTTGGTCTTTTATTCGGCAAATTTATAACAGATTGAAGAGTAGAAATTTCCAAGGTAAGATTGCTTAACCCGGAAATACTATTTCCATTATATGAGATTGTAAGAAAAAATTAATTGATGAATATTAATTGTCATGAAAACACAAACAAAATGACAGTAGGAAGTTATTCTCAAGTCTATTCCATTCACTTTTCAAAAAGACACAATTTGCATTAAAAGTCTGTTTTATGGAGTAAAAAAAAGAAATAATAAGTTGAAGTGATATGTTTAAATAATATTTTATTTAAATGTTAAATACTTGATATAAATTGGGGATTTGGGGGAGGTTCAGAAAAAAAATAACCATATTCTAAGCCAGAACTGATTTGTTTTTGAAAACATATTGCAAGTTATTTGGACACCTAAGGTTAAGAAAGGGGAAGAATATTTTCTTAACCTCAGGCCTACCTCATAATTATAAATAGGAATCCAGACTTGGAATTGTGAGTTACTGGAATGCATTACATAGTAGGTGGTTGTGAAATCTCTTTCTTTAATGATTATTAAGAAGGGGATAAACAACCAACTTTCTGGTTTTGGCTCAGTTTGCCTGGAAGCCAGGGCAAGACAGATGACCACTGGAGCCCTGCTTGAGTGATAGAAGTTCACTGCAAATAGAGACCTTGTTTTCTGAGATGCAGAGCTGGTATTATTCTGATCCAGGAGTTTCGTTTATTGCCTTCAGCTGGAAATGGGTGATGTGCATATAATATTCACAAGCATAAACACTAAATTCATGGAGTGTATCATGGCTTTGAGTCAATATACTGCATTTTAAATTCATTTGGGAGTTATAGTAAGTGCTATGTCAGCTACTAGAATGCAAATAACTGGTTTTGCTATTGGTTGCTTACTAACGAGAAGCAAATTTTCAAGCATACAGGGATTCTTAAAATTTTTTTGCCATGGTAAAAACTATCATGTAATTTTAATTTTAAAGGGATGACTGGAAACCGTACAAGCTTAGAAGACTATATTTTATTTGGGTGTGCAGAGACATCCAATCCTTCAGCTGGTTTGCAGACTTACTCTGCATGTTGCATAACAAGGTAAAATTAGGTTTGTTTTTACTTTTGCAGTTTTTTTAATTTTAAAAAAATAGCTATTTTCTTTCAAATTACAAAAGTGATAAATGCTTGCTATAGAATAAACCAGAAAATATGCAGTTAAGAAATAAGGAAGAAAAAAACAGAGATAACATCTGTTAATAATTTGGTACACATCTTTTCAGATATTGATATCTGTGAGTCTGCACATATATCTACGACACATTTTAACATAGAAATGTATGCCTATGGTTGGTGATGTATGTATATATCTGGTGATGTATGCGTATGATATATGCAGATGTATGCGTATGATATATGCAAATGTATGCATATGAGGTGGTGACAGAGGACAGATGGAGGAAAATATCTGTAGACAATTGCTACTACACCTTCCATCCTTTGTTCTAGTAGCTCTTATCTCTTATCTCCCCCTTTAACATTCCAAATGGATCATCACCAGACTTCTGGCACAGTATGCAGAATTTCAAAAATCTCAAATTCTAAGTTTTATTTTTTACAGAGCTGAAAGCAAGCATTTTCATCTATCCTACAGCTAACCTTTTATTTATTTATTAATATATCTATCTTTATTTTTTTCAAGTTATACAAGTAATACACATATGCATCTTTGATGCAAATTTTTCAAATAATTCAGGTAAAGCAAAATTCCCACCTAATCTGTGTAACCAGATGTAACTCATGAGTGTTCAATAAATTCAGTCATGCTATTTGTATCATTCTGCAAATTGCTTATTTTTTTTAACTTATTACTATGTAACTAGACACAAAAGGACAAATATTGTGTGATTCCACTTATATGAGGTACCTAGAGTAGTCTAACTCCTAGAAAGAGAAAGTAGAATGGTAGTTGCAAGGGGCTGGTGGGGAGAGTGAATGAGGAGTTAATGTCTAGTGGATACAGAATTTCAGTTTAGAAAGATGAAAAAGTTCTGGAGATGGATGGTGGTGATGGTTGCACAAAAATGTGAATGTAAGTAATGTTACTGAACTGTACACTTACAATGGTTAAAATAGTAAATTTTGTTATGTATATTTTACCACAATAAAAAATAAGTGCAGATTCCTGGGACCCACCAAGGGCCTGCTGAATCAGGAGGGTAAAAAAGGGAGAGATGAGTAGCCATTGAAAGGATCTGAGCACACTGATATGACTGTAGGTCATCTTGGGAGTATGTGTGAAAATACCAAGCACTGGGGTACTGCGATTTCCAGAGGAGCAGAAGATGAGTAATAACCAACAAAGGAGATTGGTCAGAGTGGCCAGTGAGGTAGTAGGGAACCAAGAGGGACATCTGTCCTTGAGGCGAAGGGAGGAAAAACTTTCAAGAAGAGCAAAATCACCACTCTCAAATTTGTGAATATTTTTTCTAGGTTGATGCCTGAGACTGGACTGTCTGAGTTGGAGGTGATGAGGAGGTTGTGAATAAATTTAAATTTTTAATATATACTGGCAAATATATACCCCCAAAAGAAACTAAAACAATTTACATTTCCACCAAATATTATGAGAGAAATTTATTCCAAAACAGTATATTACCAATCTTTTAAATTTCTACCAATCTCTTAAACAGTGGGATCTCATTGTATTTTCCCCTGAATGCTAGTGAGATTGAACCTCTCTTTTTATGATTATCGACCACTTTTATTACTCCTGGGATTTCCTAATTCTACCTTTGCTCATTTTTCTAATTTTTAAAAATTTTTCTTGAGCTTATATATAGAACCTATACATTTTTTTAAATAAAAGGCTATAATTGGATGCAAGATTTGGAAAGGCATATTGGAATAATAGATGCTTTGTAAGACAAGTAGCAGAGAAGGAAAGAACTAAAGAAAAGAAAAGAATGTAAGTGGCTGGACCTACAAAGGAGTTGAATCTTAAGATTTATGTTTTCATTCCTTTTCAAGTTTTTTGATGGATGTACTTTACCCTTAGGATTCCATGGAATAAATTATATAAAAGTTTAAAACTAGTGCAATGTGGTGATGACTATCTTCCACACACACCTCTGTGTATTTGTTTTGATTTTTCACATCAGCAGGATGAACACTGCTCCTTCTATTGTGCCTCCAAGGTGGATATTAAAAAGAAAAGACTTTTATTATTTTCTTTGTTTGCAACTGTGTTACCACATTCAGAGTGTGTGTGTGTGTGTGTGTGTGTGTGAGAGAGAGAGAGAGAGAAAGTGAGAAAGAGAGAGACCAATAGCAATAAAGCGTAGTGACTTTACATACATTCTCTTTGGGGGTAGGTGAAAGTATTTTTGAAAACCAAATGAAAATGTACAGTCTTTCAATCTTGTTCCAACTGTAAGTTCTTTCACATCATTCTAGAATGCCTAGGGCGTAGCTCTCTAGCTCCTTAGCCACTCTATCTTGGTGTCAGACTATCTGATATGATTACAAAAGTAGCACCTTAGGTGCCTCTTGCTTGGCCAGATTGTCCAACCCGGTGATTTAAGAAAAGAGTGCAGGGCCAGGTCTCAGGTGATCTGGGACCGTCTCTGCAGTAACTAATTACATGACTTGCTTCAAATCACTTCACCTCTGTGGGTCACATTGGGAAAATCACAATGAGGGACCAGGGCTCCGTCAGGCGTTTGGAGTCTATTACTTACAAGGGAACAGTGGCTCTACCTCATACTAGCTGTGAGACCTTGGATAAATAAACCTTATTTGCACTTTCAATTTGTAAATGAGGATAACAGCAGCTAGAGCCTGATGTGAGATTTAGCCCTACCATGTCTCAAGTATCTATCATATTGAATGTATTTACTAAATGATTGCTATCATTCCTATTAGTGATCTGTAAAATTCCTTCCAGGACTCACATCCTGTTATTTTTTATTTGTGAGAGAAATAAGGATGAGTGATAGGCAGAAGAAATAAAAATGAAAAACATAATCTTTGTGCATGATACTACCATCCTCATCTATTTGCAAGATTGTGTTGATTGATTTATTTGTTTTTTCACTGCTCTTTCACTTGGAGAAAATTGTTCTTTTAGTGGATGTTATTGCTTGTCTTCAGTGAGAGATGAGTTAAAATGGAACATTGAAATCATTAAAAACATTGTTTACATTTGCATCGTCTTCTCTGGGGGCTATGGGCACCAAACACTAGTTATTGATGCAGGAGTCATTGGGCTGATCTCAAAGCAGACTCTTGGTAGACATTTAAGAGAAGAGTCAACACAAACCATGTGTTTTGTGAGATACTATCCATTACTGGCGCCTGGAAATTCATCAATTTCTTCTCAGTTAAATTTCATAAACCCTGATTCAATTCAGAAAGGGCCTTAAAATGAATTTGGCATTTAGACAGCTATTGGATGGAATGTAATTAATGATTCTCTATTAAGAATATTATGGGTACTGAGAATCATCATTTACCACTTGTAAAGTAAATGTTTTTATTGGGATTTTGAAATTCAGAGTTACCACCTGTTAGAACATGTATAATTTTAGATCTGGAAGAGACCTGTGAGATAATGTCATTGAACCCAACCGTTGTCATGATGAAGAAACTGAGGCCTAGATAAGTTGAATAACTCGAGAAATCTCAGGGCTAGGCAGTAATGGCAATACAAACAGCCTCTCAGTTACTTGCCAGGTGCCTCTACCATTGTCAGGGGTGCCAGAGGGGTGATGAAGCCCTACTTAATCACCCCCTGTTTGCAAAATGACTTCTTCTGCATTCCTAAAACTTCTACTTTGAGTCCCAATATATCTATTTTAAAAAAATCATTACTTTCACATTATATAGAAACAATACTTGAAATCAATTGATCCTTTTGCTGCAACAAGGTCCAGCAAAGTCTTACCATCTCAAGCAGACCCACTGTGCCTATCCATGGTCAGGGAATAGTTTGACTATTGAAGAAGTGCTGGTCTCTTCTAAGCCTTTCCTCAGGACCCACACATCAGACACTCATCTCTGTTCTCCAAAGAGCACACCATGGCTGCTGTGCTCCTTTCTTTCTCTTCTCTGCTTTTGATGCCTTTTCCTTATCTTTCAGCGTCTCTTTATTTCAGAGTGGCAAAAGGAGACCTTAAGAAGAAGAATATTTTTAAAAATGTAGATTTAAGAAGTGAAAGATTCAGTCCGAGCATGGCCAATCGTTAGTAGATTCATTTTTATCTTCTGGGAAAAGGAAGCATACGAGGAGAACAAAAACCTTTTTATCCTCTTTGTTGAATTTATTTGCCCTCAGATGATATTTTTTTCAGTTAGTTTATTTTTCAAGATATTGGAATGTTCGAGATTTTTTTGCAGACTGTTTTATTTTGGCAAATGTATTTCCTGCCTTATACATTTTTTTTAATTTATTTAAGAAGAGATCCTCAGAGCTCCATTCCTTTTTGTTTATTTTTATTTTTTTTTTAAAGGAAGATTGGCCCTGCATTAACATCTGTTGCCAATCTTCCTCTTTTTTCTCCCCAAAGCCCCAGTACATAGTTGTAGAGTTGTAGCTCTTCTATATGGATGCTGCCTCAGCATGGCTTGATGAGCAGTGAGTATGTCCATGCCCAGGATCCAAACCGGCAAACCCTGGGCTGCCGAAGCAGAAGGCACAAATTCAACCACTACACCACCCGGCCAGCCCCCTGCCTCATGTTTTTATACAAAGGAAACCAGTGCTGAGGAGGAGGAAGGCAGGAACAGGAATAGTGCCTTTTGTTTGTTTGTTTTTGTTTTGTTTTTTGTGATTTCTAGCATGCATATTGTATATCACTATTGACTTTCTTTTTAGAAAATCATGTTCTTTATGAGTGAACTCTTGGGTAAAATTTAGGGACTTTTGGAGAATAAAATAATAAATATGTGGGAAGGCTTTAGGGGATATTAGTGTAGTATTTAGAATGCTAGATTTTGATCTATAAAGATGCAAGACAATTATTCCCTTCCACCGCCACTATCATACCTGATTATAATGGTAGGTGACAGGTTGTTAATGCTAGAATCTGCCATGTATATGGCACATATATGTGTGTGTTTGTGTATATATATATACATTTACTTGTAGATGTTGACTGTGATTAGACAAGATACATCTTAACAAATTCTAGAATCATATGTTAGAAGAGGAGAAAGTCTGAGTGTACAGAAAGAATTTTAATGTCTATTTACTTTTATGTCCTCTCAGTTTTGGCAAGAGAACAGACCTGACTATATCAACATCCAGCTGTACCTCAGTCAAACAGATGGGATACAGGTATGTGGTTGGATGTTATTGTAAATTTAACAAGCCTCTTGATGATAGAAGATTTACTGTAGGGGCTGTGCTGGAAGAAAATTTCTGCAGGTGGTTTGAAGAGCAGTTTCCCAGAGGAAGACCTCTTTTGGAACGTGTCCAGAAAACTCATTGTCCTTGAAGTCAACCGTATTATGCCTTTCATTTGTCCTCCTCACAGCGAGCTGGAGCGGACCTTCTGAGTTCATCTCTCTCCTCTTCACTGTCACCTCAAGTGCTTTACCTCTAGAGATCAGGCCATAAGTGAACAGTCCTGTGGTTGTGTTCATGGAGGGGAGGTTTTATGAGGAGAGAGAAGATAAGGTCATACACAGTTAAGCTTATTTCCCTTCAAGGAAAACTGAAAAAAAATAGTCATAGCCATCACTCATTATTTACTTACTGTGTTAGACACTGGGATAGACGCTGAACAGATTTGGGAGGTAGATGCTGTTGCTATCCTCATATTATAGATGAAGAAACTGATGTTTACAGACAAGATTGAAGAGCTGTATAGGTATATAAATCTGGGCATGAATGCTTTCACAAGTTTTATTTTAGCATTTTCCATCATACATTTTCTATCATACTTTGAATACAAAAAATGAATGCTGGTGAGTTACTTCAAAACTAATCTAACCCTATTTTTGCTAGTTGGAGTTTTTACCCTACTTGGTATGTAAAAAATATTTCATTTTACTGCTCTCATGAAGCAAGTCAATATCATTATTTCTCATGGTATTACTATAATTAAGGTACGGAGCATAAATTACATTTCGTTCTCAGTTTGTCTGCCTGGGACTCAGGCACTTTCCCCTTTTTTCTCCCTTCACTCTGACTCTTCGCTGCCAATTCAGATCTAATATTCTGTTCATTGCAAACACTAGTCCATTAGAAGTTATTTGTTGGTAGACCCAAGATTTGGAGCTCTTCTGTTATAGTCTGTCTTGTCTAGGATAATTTTCTCAAATTTGTTATCATAATTGGTGGTATTTTACTCATATAATGAGCCAAGTATGACAACTGTATTTGCAGTGCGAAAACACTTCAATAAAGTTTATGTGCGGCATCCTTTCTTGAGAGTAGGCAATTAGAATGCATTCTTTGAAGTTGTTTAAAAATGAAGCAACTCACTGCAGTCTGGGAAAATCAGCCATTTGTAATAACGACATTCAAGAAGGTAATGGATTTTAAAGGAAAAGAGGAAGGAAATGATGCTTCTAAATGACTGTACTTAATAGGTTGCTATTCTATACTTATATTCTTTATATCACAGCAATTTGGTAGGAAGCCACAGCACCAGCAGAAATGACGTTAGAGAAATGAGGTATTTGTCCAACTTTGTGTCATATGAAATCTAAGTGCTTTCTTTTTGGCAGAAGATAATTGGAGAAAAATATCAAGCACTGAATTCAAGGCTTTTTATTGGACGTCCTCGGTGGAAACTTCTGTTTGATGAAATAGCAAAATGTAACCGAGGGTAAGTACTATTTCTCAGAAAATTTGACATGTGGTTAATGATCAAATTAAAATATTCCCAAGTCATTACATGAAGTTTTTAAAGATGAATTAGTAATGGGTTTACAAATTGCAAAGTCACTTAAACACTCAATTATCACTCTCAAAGGAGGAAGCAAAGCGGGGACCACCTCACATATCTGTAGTGCCAAATAGTTAAAATTTGGCTTAGAAAGTCTATAAAGTATTTATGAACTAGATTCTACTGCCTACTTTTAAATTTGCATAGACCCATATTAAAATGGGTATTCATTCCTCCACATTCCAGTGTATATATCAGGTGATCATTGGAAAATTTTTTCAAAATCATGTTGCCAAACAAGGGAGCTCTACAAATAGTTCTGCTAATGACGGCACTTAAAAAAATCATATTTTTTAACCTTTTTACCAGAATGAATACATTTTTAAAAACTCTTAGTTGTAATATGCAGTCTCTAAGCAGGAATATTTCCAAACATAATTTTTTTTTTTTTTGGAAGCTATGTGGTCATGCATTGCTTAACGATGAGGATACGTTCTGAGAAATGCATCGTTAGGCAATGTTCACTGTGTGACCACCACAGAGTGTACTTACACAAACCTAGATGGTATAGCCTACTACATGCTTAGGCTATATGGTACTAATCTTACGGAACCAACGTCATATGTGTTGTCGTTCATTGAAATGTTCTTATGTGGGGCACGACTATAATTCTATGAAGAACCTTAGCATTATGGACTATGTGTCTATGATCTGAAGAGATTGAAGGAAAGCATTCATTTTAGGGCACAGACTGGCCAGTCCATTTGTCTTCTGTAAACTTATACAAGAATTCTAAAAGCATTTTGAAAACCATATACCCACCCACACATTTTAAAGTTGGCATCGAATAGTTAGTTACATCATAAGTTTCAGTAGTTGCAAAGGCTATAATTTCTAACGTATTTCAGATGTTGACATATTAAAATTAATATAACTCTTTTAAACATATCTGATGGAATCTAAATATCATAGTTTCTTGGTACCAACCTCCTATAATGTAAAGATACACAAACAAGTTTTCATTAGCAGTTGGAAATTTTACGTCATTCTTTTTCCGACTTGAACTTGTGTTTCTATCCTATTTAACCTGCTGAATTTTATCAAAATTCAGTATATTTTTACATTTGCATACGTCTGTTGCTAAGCTAAACATCCTTTTGGAATAAGAATGTACATAAATTGAAGATTTAATTTTTAAAATTTCCTGTCATATTCCTGTCCCATCTTTTTCCAATATCATGCATCTTCGATGGGATAATCTTGTTATACTCACCTGGGTCTTGCTGTGCACCACAAACATTTCCTCTTTCATGGCATTCCGCTGACCTCTGACAAGCGTTCTTTTATTAGTTTTCATAGTATAGTGCTGAAATTTGATAGCTTTTTTTTTTTCGCTCAATTCTGACACCAAACTCCAAAACAGTGGAGGATCATTTACAAGAAATTAGATTGGGATTATTGGTTTCTCTCGTTAGTTCTTAAGAATTCTCATTTGTTATACTGTTCATGATTTAGAGGAATTTTTCCTGTTTATTTGCGTAGTTGGTCATTTTTTTAAACAACAAAGCTGGTTTAAGAAGAGCAAATGTGCGCCATCTACTGTTGACATTTTGTACAACACTTTCGCATTGCGTGTTTGCTCTGGGCAGACATCTAAAATGCATTATTTTAAAAGGATTTTTATGTAGCATACTTAGGAAAAGAGTGGATCAACATTTTAAGGGTTCATTAACCAGAAAAAAATAGTGGATATTTAGGTTACCTCTAGTCCTTTACTCTTACAAACAGTGCTGTAGTAATTATCTTTGCACTTTCTCATGCTCTTGTGAGGGTATTGCAATAGGTTGGAAATGGAATTGCTGGCTCAAAGGGTGTGCATATTTAGATACAGTCCTATCAAAACTGAAAGGCTAAATCAATTTATACTCGATTTACTGTGCATGTGTATATGAGAGTGGTTCCTTCCTTGCGTGGTTTTTTTAAATTCAGAAAATGAATTTTATGATGGTATTACATGATCAAGGAAAGTGAGAGAGCTTTTTAAGTCACCCTGCTTTCGTCATTATTTTAGAAATGAAGAAGCTAGGACCCCAAAAGATAATGATTTGTATAAAACTATGGTTAATGAGACAGAATTCACACATGAACCTATGTCTTCTAATTATAAAGTTCAATGTGCTTTACAGTAGAGCATTGTCACACATAGAATGAGTGGCAATCTTATTTTACCATGTCCTTCTTGGGGACAGTGAGGTGTTGCAAGAAATTGTCATGTTTACTATGTATGTTGCAGCAGAATGTTAACTCTAATGTACTAAAAGCATCAATAGCTAATTTTTCAAAAACATAAAGAGATATTCTAAATCTTACTCTATAAGCAATTCCGTATTTAATAACATATCAGAAAATTATTTATTACGCCTAAGCAAAATCCAGTTTCCTGTTATTTATAATAAAAATGTGTATCATACCTTAATCTAGTTGAATTTATGCATTATGCAAAGGGAGCAATAAAGAATTAACTGTATACGGACTTTGGTGCGGAGAATGACTACTCTGGGGTTGGGTGTAACATCTGAGACCATATCTGTATTTTGCTGCCTCATGATGTTTTAAAAGCAATACAGATAAATAACACCTAGGTTTGGTCTCTCGCATTTGCTCCTGTGTCCCCGTGTCAAGTCATTCACTGCAATACAAGGAGTGAATAATATCTCAAGAGTGAATAACCTCTCATCATATGAGATCCCACACTTACAAATCTGCGTGGAAAAATGAGTATTGGTATAATAGGAAAATACGCACAAATATACTGAACATTTATGGAACTGGTTCCCAACATCTGCCCCAAACAATGTTTTCTGCTTAGCATTTAAGTCTATCTCTACCCAGCTCAACAAAGTTTTTGTAGATAAATCTCTAGATGATTGTTGGGTTCCAGCAACCTTATGCAAATTTAGTGCAAATGGATTGCAAAGATTAATTGTAGATCTTGAAAAAGTTATAGGATTTCATTAAGTTAGTGAAAGTGACATTGGGGAACTCCTCAAATTACACAAAGATCTCTTAGAGTTAGCTAACAATTGAAAAACAAAATGTAAAAAAAAAAATAATAATGATATATGGGTGCTTTAAAAGTAATGATTTCATTATGAAGTATTTAAGAGAAGCCTTTAGGAAATCTGCGAAATTTGAAAAACTATCTCTATAATTGCCTAATGAAAGCCAAGAAAGAAAATAATGGTATCCTATTGTCATAATGCAGTGTTGACAGAGAATGTATACAAACAGACAAAATGACTCATTATCTTTTCATTTTAATGAAAACCACACTATTTTTTTGGGTGGTATAAGTTCAGTAGTTCGATTTTATTCAATTTAAGTAATCCATTGTGTCTAGCTCTGATTTTAATAATCTAAGTTTTGTTAAGTATAACATAATTTATTTTCATACTTATTATTTTCTTCCTTCTGCTCACTTTGGGTTTAATTAGCTTTTATTTTACTAGTTTCTCAAGGTGGAACCTTAGGTCATTGATGTCAGAACTTTGCTCTTTTCTACTAAAAGTGTTTAATACTATAAATTTCCCTCTAAATACCTCTTTAGCTATATCCCACAAATTTTGATGTTTTGTTTTCATTTTTATATAGTTCAAAATGTTTTTTAATTTTCCAGGTGATTTCTTCTTTGACCCATTGGTTATTTAGAAATATGTTGTTTAATTTCCAGTATGTGGGGATTTTACAGATATCTTTTTGTTCTCGATGTCTAGTTCTATTGGGTTTTGTTAAGACAAGATACTCCTTGCGATTTCAGTCCTTTAAAATTAATCAGGACCTGTTTTATTGCCCAGAACATGGTCTGTCTTGATGAATGTTCCACGTACACTCAAAAAGAATTTCTATTCCATTGTTTTTGGGTACAGCACTCTATAAAAATCAATTAGTTCCAGTTGGTTGATGGTGGTATTCAAGTCTTCAATACATGAACCGATTTTCTGTCTACTTGTTCTATCAGTTGGTGAGAGAAGAGTGTTGAAATGATCAACCATAATTCTAGATTTCTCTGTCTTTATAGTTCTATCAGGTTTAGTTTCATGTATATTGGAAATTTTTAGTTGTAGGGTTTAGTTCTATTATTTAAACTATTTACATTTTATTATTACATTTTATTCATTACAAAATATATTTTATTGTTACATGAATTAGAAAATATTGGTTTTTTCCAACTTTATTGAGATATAATTGACATATAATATTGTGTAAGTTTAATGTGAGCAATGTAATGATATGATTTATGTATATATTGCAAAATGACTTTCACAATATGATTAGTTAACAAATTTATCACCTCACATAATTACAATTTGTGTGTGTGTGTGATGAGAACTTTTAAGATCTACTCTCTTAGCAAATTTCAAATATACAATACAGTATTGTTAACTATAGTCACCATGCTGTACATTACATCCCAGAACTTATTCTTTTAACTAGAATTTTGCAACCATTGGTCAACCTTCATCCATTCCCTACCTCCCCACCACCCATCTATTCTCTGTTTCTATAAGTCTGGTTTTTTAGATTCCACATGTAAGTGAGATCATACAGTATTTGTCTTTCTCTGTCTGATTTATTTCACTTAGCATAATGCCCTCAAGGTTCATCCATGGTGCCGCAAATGGCAGGATTTCTCTCTTTTTTATGGCTGAATGGTATTTCAGCGTGTGTGTGTGCGTGTGTGTGTGTCACATCCACACATTCATTATCCATTCATTTTCTTTATCCATTCATCTATTGACGGACACTAAGGTTGTTTTCATGTCTTGGCTATTCTAAATAATGCTGGCAATGAACATGGGAGTGCAGATATCTCTTCAAGATAGTGATTCATTTCCTTTGAATATAAACCCAGACGAGGGATTGCTGGATCATATGGTAGTTCTATTTTTAATTTTTTGAGGAACCTCCATACTGTTTTCCATAGTGACTGTACCAATTTACATTCCCACCAATAGTGTACATGGGTTCCCTTTCCTCCACATCATCGCCAGCACTTATCTCTTGTCTTTTTGATGACAGCCATTCTGACAGGTATGAGGTAATATCTCAGTGTGGTTTTGATTTGCATTTCCCTGATGATTAGTGATATTGAGCACCTTTTTATGTACCTGTTGACCATTTGAATGTCTTTTTTGGAAAAATATCTATTCAGATCCTTTGCTCATTTTTTTAATTGGATTTTTTTTATTTTTATTTTTTTGCTGTTGAGTTGTATGAGTTCTTTATGTATTTTGGCTATTAACTCCATATCAGATATGTAGTTTGCAAATATTTTCTCCCATTCTTTAGATTGCTTTTTCATTTTGCTGATTCTCTTTTGCTATGCAAAAGTTTTTTAATTTGATGTAGTCTCACTTGTTTATTTTTGCTTTTATTGCTGGTATTTTGGTGTCACATGCATGAAATCATTTCCAAGACCAATGTCAAGGAGCATTTTCTCTATGTTTACTTCTAGAAGTTTGATGGTTTCAGATCTTACAGTTAAGTCTTTAATTCTTTCTGAGTTTATTTTTGTGAGTGGTGTAAGCTAGGGGTCTAGTTTCATTGTTTTGCTTGTGAATATCCAGTTTTCCCAGCAGCATTTATTGAAGAGGCTATCTTTCCCTCATTGAGTATTCTTGGCTCCCTTTGGTTGGGTTTAAATCCAGCAGTTTACTACTGCTATTTATCTCACTCTTTTTTTTTTTCTTTTCTTTATTTACCTTCTTTTGGGTTGAGTATTTTTTTATGATTCCATTTTTTCCTCCTGTGTTGGCATATTAGCCATATCCCTCTGTTTGTTTTTTAGTTCGCTTTTAGTGATTTCTTTAAGGCATTGGTTCCCAAACTGCATTCCTTGGATCAGCATCACCTGGGAACTTGTTAGAAAAGGAAATTTGTGAGTCCTACTCAAGATCTGCTGAATCAGAAGCTCTAGGGATGGGGCCCAGCTATCTGTGGTCTTTGGTCCCTGAGGTGATTCTGGTGAGGCTGAAATCAGAGAAACATTGTTCTAGGTTTACGGTGTATATCAATAGCTTATCAAAGTATACTTCACATAGTATTATACCACTCCATGTACTTCCATTCCCTCTGCATCTCTTTGGCTGTTGTTCTTATTCATCTTTCTTCTACATATGCTATAAACCTCATAATGCATTGTTATTACCTTTGTTTTAAACACCAATTATGTTTTAAAGAGATTAAAAATTAGACAAAATATACATTATAATTATTCACAGATTTACCATTTTGGTGGTCTTCATTCCTTTGGGTAGATTCAAATTTCCATCTGATTTCATTCTCCTTCCTGAAGAATTTTCTTTAATATACCTTATAGTGCTGGTTTGCTGGCGATGAATTCTCTCACCTTTTGTTTGGAAAGTTTATATTCCGTCTTCATTTTTGAAAGTTATTTTTGTTTAGTATAGAATTTGCTTGGTATAGAATAGTTGACATTTTCTTTTGTCTTTCAGCACTTTGAAGATGTCACTTCACTGCCCTCTGACTTGCAAAGTTGTGACGAGAAGTCCATCTTTCATTTTCTGTTTATTATTTGTAATGTGTCTTTTTTCCCGCTCTGGCTGCTTTTATGTTTTTCTCTTTGTGTCTCTCTGGTTTTCAGAGTTTGATTATAAGTTGCCTTATATGGTTTTCTTTGTGTGTATTCTTCTTGGGGTTCATTAGATCCTCAGATCTATGTTTTTGTTTTCATCAAATTTGTAAAAATTTTGACAGTTATTTGTTCAAATGTTTTTTCTCTTTCCCTTCTGTCTTCTTTCTTGTTGGGATTATGATTACATATATGTTAAAGTAGTTAATGTTGTCCCACAGGTCCTTGAGACTTTGTTCATTTTAGTTTTTGTTCTGTGTGCTTCCATTTGGATAGATTCTAGTGTTATGTCCTCAAGTTTACTTATCTTTTCTTCTGTAGTGCCTATTCTTCTGTTAACCCAACAGTATGTTTACCATTTTAAATACTGCATTTAATCTCTAGAATTTCCATTTATACCTTTAAAAAATCTTCTATTTCTCTTCTCATCATGTTGATGCTTATCTTTGAACATATGAAGCATGTTTCTCATCACTGTTTCAATGACTGTGCCTGATAATATTATCATTTCTTTCATTCTGGGCCTGTTTCTATTGACTGATCTTTCTCCTTGTATTAGTTTGTTAGGACTTCCATAACAAAATCCCACAGACTGGGTGGATTAAACAACCGAAATTTATTTTCTCACGGTTCTGGAGGCTGGAAGTCTAAGATTAAGATGCCAGCAGTGTTGGTTTCCTCTGAGACTTCCCTCCTTGGCTTGCAGATGACCACTGTCTTGCTGGGTCTTCACATGGTTGGTTTTTTCTCTGTGCGTGTGCACCTCTGGTGTCTCTTTGTGTGTCCAAATTACATCCTCTTATAAGGACACTAGTCAAATTGAAATAGAATCCACTCTAACAGACTCGTTTTTACTTAATCCTGTCTTTAAAGGCCCTATCTCCGAATATAGCCAAATTCTGAGGTCCTAGGGGTTAGAGTTTTAACCTATGAATTTTGGGGGGACGCAATTTAGCCCACAACACTTCTAGTTATAGTTCATAATTTCTTGCTCCATACATTTCTGGTAATTTTTAATTGAATGGTATGCATTTTGAAATTTAGATACTAAATGCCAAATTTAATTTATTTTTTTCAACATTGTTGGACTTGTTTCTGACATGAAGTTTTGTTACTTGGGTTTAGTTTGACCTTTCAAGGCTTGCTTTTAAGCTTTGTTAGTATAGGTCCAGAGCAGCCTTCAGTCTATGGCTAATTTTACCAACATCATCCCTACCCCTTGCAAACAAGGTGATTCCTTTCCAAGAAGGTATTGCCCGTGTATTATATATGGATCTTTCCATTTTGGCGTGTGGGAATATGATCTATTCAGAATCTTGGGTAAACTCTGAGAATTGTTTGACCTATTGCTCCCTGGTAATTCTTTATCCAGATTCACGTGGTTTCCTCTCACACATGAGAAGAGTAGTTCTCAGCCAAGGACTTGAGGATACTCCTCCACAGATCTCCAGAGCTTCTTTCTGTGGTCTCTTCCGTTACATATTTTGCTCCACAAAGTCTAGCTGCTTTGGCCTTCATGAACTCCATTCTTTGTCTCTTCAGCTCAGTGAGACCACCAATCTCTGCATGAATTTGTCTCCTCTGTGCTGCAGCCTGTAGATTTCCTCCAGGCAAAAGCAGAGACAGTTGCTGGACTCGCCTTGTTTTTTCTCTTTTCTCAGGGATCACAGTTTTGTGCTGTGTAGTATTGTCCAGTATTTGAAAATATTTCTTTCATATATTATTTGTTTTTTCCTAGTTTTTTTAACGCAAGAGGGTAAATCTAGTCCTCATTACTCTGTTATGGCTACAAGTAAAAGTTCTATTTTCATAGTTCTTTGTTTCATTTTTCAAGGTGAAAAGTTTTAATAAAACCATTTCTTCACTGTTTGTTATAAATTTTTGGTACACATTTAAATGGATTCACTGTCTTTTTTTTAGCACCAATTATTCTCACATAAGGAGTACATGCTGTATTTGTCCAAGATATATGAATTGTTAATCATTTTGATATCCTAGGAAGAATTCAATGCAAATCTACAAACTTTGGGAGAAGATCAATGTGAAATACTAGTCATTTCCTGGGATTTATTTAGTTTATTTGTTAGGGATATGTATAATTTATCTACTAAAATTTTATGTTATCGAATAATAAAACCTGCTTGGAATTTGTTACAATTATTGCAGTGCATAAATAAAAAAGAAAATGTATTCATATTAATATGCTTTTTGTTTTAATGTGAATATACATTAGTCGCTTAAAATTATCCTTTCAAATTGGTAATAGCTTTTCTTTCTCTTATTCATCACTGTCCATGAAAATCCATGGGATCTTTAGAAAATATGTATGTAAAACATCTAATAAAGGAAGAATTGGGGGCGGGCCCAGTGGCATAGTGGTTAAGTTTGCATGCTCCATTTCGGTGGCCTGGGGTTCACAGGTTTGAATCCTGGGATCACTGACACACTGCTTATCAAGCCATGCTGTGGCAGACATCCCACATTACATATGGGGCATGTGGAGGAAGATGGGCACCGATGTTAGCCCAAAGCCAAACTTCCTCAGCAAAAAGAGGAGGATTGGCAACAGATGTTAGCTCAGGGCTAATCTTCCTCACCAAAAAAAAAAAAAGAGAAAGAAAGAAAAATTGGCATGGTCCACTGTGGATGGACATCTATTAATTGCTGCTCTTGATTTGGTTTCTGCCCTCACCAATGGCTTGTAATGAAAAGGCTAAGGCATACTGCTCACTGTTTGCCTGATAATAGGCAAATATGTGCTCATAGTTACATTCTTTGAATTATCCTGGTTTCTAGTATAAAAATCATGAGGTAAATAAAATATGTTCCTGGTGGTCACTTAACGTTTTTGAATAATTGGAAAATTATTTTCAATACGCAAGGCAAGAAATTAACTTTGCTAATACCTTAAACATGCTCATAAGGCATACTTCTTGTCATGTTCTGCCAAATTTTCCACCTGATTTTCCATTTTCTCCCTCTCTTTTCCCAGGAAAACAGTTGGTGTTTTTTGCTGTGGACCCAATTCAATTTCTAAGACTCTTCATAAACTGAGTAACAGAAACAACTCATATGGGACAAGATTTGAATACAATAAAGAATCTTTCAGCTGAAAATCTTTGAGATGAACCAAGACTCTACAGAAGGAATGAGTGCAATTTATAAGACTTTGAAACTCAGCTGAATCAAACAGCTGTGTCATGCCAAAGAGTAGCAAGGTTTTCTTATTTATGATTATTTAAAATGGAAATGCAGAGAATGTGGCCAGATGACAGGTCACATTACATGTTTAATCTGGAAACCAAAGAGGCCTTGAAGAATATTTGATGTGATGATTCACTTTTCAATGTTCAAATTAAAAGAAAACTATTAGATGCAGACTGTTGATTTTTATGGCAGATTCAAGAACTCCCTAGCGAGGAGCTGCACTTGCTCACTGTGAGGCTGATAGCCTTGGTCCTCTTTAAATTGTTTTTGGTTGAACAAATGCAAGATTGAACAAAATTAAAAATTCATTGAAACTCAGATTACTTTTTCTATGTGAGTATAAATAGAGTAGCTTTGATTTAGAAAAGCCCCAGGCAAACGTATTAGATGTTTGAAAATATAGTACGGGACTCTGTATTGATACGGGTACTTTGTGTCAATATCTAATCTCTCTCACTACTGATGCTAATACCTCTACTTGATGTCTGTAGACTTTATACTGAATGAACCTTGTGCATATGTTGATATAGTATCTATTTTTATATTTTTCTTTCTTCCTTTTTCCTCTGTCTAGGGAAATCTGCCCTCCCTTGGCATGCATTAGACACAATGATTTAATTGGTCCTTTTCATCTCCAATTTATTTAATCTATTACAATTGCATAGTAATGAGGAAAATATCATTACTATAAATTATAAAGGGATATATAGACTGATAGCTTTTTTCCTTTTTCAACATTTTGGCCTCTATTATTTTTATTTACTTTTTTTCCCAGCACAATTTTTCCTAGTTTTTAGCCTCTTAAGGTGATTTGTTTAATTTGCACTTTGAGACCAAAGTGGTCACCGAGATATACATTTTTTCTCTTTTGTCACACTTTGATTTATGCTTGAGACATTGAAAGTGTAGTCATATTCCTGAACAGGAAACCTGTATTTTACTTTCTATACAACAGGAAATATTTCATTAGTTATTTGAATTTAAGTTCAGAATCAATATTATTATTATCACACTATCTGGTGTTCTGGGTCTTGATAGGGAATTATTGAATTTAAAGTCACTATTGGGACTATGCTCTGTGATCCTATCAGCTTATGCTCCCTGGCCATTACATTCTTGGCTCAGAGGAAAAATCTACTTTCCTTTTTACAATTTAGTGATTTTGTTTTGTTAGGCATCTATCAATTGCTATCAAATATAACACATTGCTGAAACCAGTGGCATGATTTATCTTGCCTTTGTTCAAATTTTGCATGATGCAACATAACATGATAGATGCTACTGTCATTTTTTGCTCTGATTCACCAGTAGCAATCAAGTATATTAAACCATCTAGCATTGAATGCCCATATACATATTACTTATAGAAATTTCTTTCTCTCCTTGGAATTCTTTCTTCTCTCTTCTGTGGAAGGAAGGTGAATCAGAAAAAGATGTGGAAAAAGTGCAATGTTCCTACAGATTTAGCTTTGAAGGCATATTCAATAACCAGTACATCTTGGTAAGACGTTCTAAATTAAAAAGAATTGTTAAGATACCTTTGTAATAACACGTAACACAAGAACTTGCAAAAAGAAACTTGAGCTGGTACAGGCTTGATGTGCAATACCGACTCTTTACTAACCATAATTTATATGATTATATTAATACATCTAATTTCAGTAAAACAGGTGGAAGATTTTTCAAAAGAAGAAACATCTTTCCAGATAGGTCTGCCAGTCTAGATCAGCTTCCTTGCCTATTTTAAATTCCAGTTGATGTTCAAATGTTAAGCGTTAAACATAGGTAATTTTTGCTTCTGTAGGTAGGAATGAAATTAGGGCTTCATCATACATGTATAAGAAAGCTTTGTTTTGTTTTGAGGAATTCTTTCTCTGGGGCTAATTCTTGTCATACACATCTTAAAACAGTAATTTTAGTGTCAATAAATGTTAAAATTTCTATTTTTTTATCTAACTCTTCCAGAAATCAAATGAATATTTTTCATTGGTTTCCTTATAAAAAAAATTGAAATGGCATCCTTGAAAGCTCTATAAGCTCACTTTACTTTTACAGCAAATAAAGCAGGCAGGTTTTCTTCACAAGATGCTGTAAGTGTAAGAAACACAATCTATTGGCATGCACACAAACATGAGTAGCCTTGGGGGTTTGAGTTCTGGGGCTATCAGTGTCACTGGCAAATTACCTGTCACTCCAGAATTAAGATTTCTCATTTGGACCAGATTACTAGTTATCAATCTTATTTGGGTAATGTACCTTTTTGAGAACTTGATTAAAAATGAATATTATGATGTTCATATAAAACATTACATACAATTTTGGGGGGGCCCACAATCTCCAAAAGCAAGGACCCTAGTTTAAAAAACCTCTGAACAAAATAATCATCACTATTGGTCTTACTACCTACACTTTTCTTTTCTTTGATTTTTTTAGAAGAAACTATCAATTTTTTATAGATTTATATTAAGAAATTAATTCTATAGACAAAGGAAAAGAAATTCTCTTTGTATGCCCCAAAACAAAGAATCCAATGGAATCTTCCATCAGTTTTTAATCTTCTTGTGTCTCCTGCTTTATGCAAGGGAAGGAAATTTAACATATCAATAATAATAAAAAACTTAGATTCAAACACACACACACCACATATACATTTGGGGCTTAGTTTGCTTTTTTTTTAATTCAGGTTAAAAATGAAATGGTAGATAGTTTTTTCATTTAGTCACTTAAAATGCCATTCGGGTGACTGTGATAGTATAGGCACTTAAAGCAAAGAAATAAAAGCCATGTAGACAAACCATAGGCTGAATTGATTTAATCTATATAGCCATGTTATTTATAACCCCCCAAATCAGTGTTTACTTGAAGTATTCACAGTAGGCAATAGATTTTAAATTATAAGGCATCGCTTAAGAGGCTTGCTAGAGGCAAATGGGCTTTTGTCATCAATAGATAATGCTGGTGCTGAAGAGTGTTCATTACGTTAAAGAGAAAAAATTTTAAGAAAATTTTTTTTCTTTAAGGATGGTTAACTCAGCTGAACAGTGATTTTTCTAAAGAAACCAATGAGACATTTTTCAGTGCTATTCATGATAAACAATTTCCTTTTCTTATGCTATCTAGGACACTTTCATATCCGGTTATATTATTGAAACATAAAATACTGAAGTTAGGAGTGCTATTAGTTTGCAGTTGAGGAAACTAAGGCCCGAAGGAAGATGGTAACTTGCTTCAAGTCATCCACTGAGTTTGTCAGCGACAAAACTGGAGCTCAGCTTTTCTAATATCTGCTACTGAAACGCTCCTCCCACCTCCTCGTGAAATATACATCTAATAAGACACATCTGGTCCTGTTAATCGGGCTCTCCCTATAAACTCTAGTGCTGGGTGGAAAATAAGGTACCGAGTGTTAATTCCAGATTCAGAGCAGAAAATCACACCCTTCTTCCTTATATATCTTCTGATTCTAAATTTGTTAGTCTTATATGTTTTGCCTATTAGAACCTATTTCCAGATATCAGTTTTAAAATATGACAGTTGTGCTAAAAGGATTATGTTCTCCAGAACTCTGTATTGTGGAAAGATGTAATAGTATATTTTCTAGGAAATGCTAATATTGTCATTTTAAATTTAGGTTCAAAGACAAAAGTCATAACTTCACCAGCTTTCTAACCACCCAGGGAAATGTTGACATTAAAACAAATGACTATTGTTCTCTACTCGCATGACCATAATGTGCCTTTTGTTCAGGAGAAAAGAGTCAGCTTTTTGTAAACTAGTGAGACAAGAAATAGATGAAATCAAACATAATGAGCATTTACTTCAACCACCACAGAACAATGAGAACTCAGTTTCCGGCTGTCTAAATCTCCCCTTCATTACCCCGACTTCTTTATTCCATTCTGTAGTATTCTCAAAGGACAGAGTTGCAAAAGCTAGCTAGATAAAGTTTTCCAAAGCAAGGAAGCAGAAGATTTCCAATACTTAGCAAAGAAAGGTACATTAAGAGAGAAGAGGAAAAAAGGCCATGTGGATCATTTAAAATCAGCAGAGAGTTAAGCAATGTTGCTTTAGAACAGAGACTAGTAATTTTTTTTGAAGTGAATTTACAGAATTTTTATTTTCTCTTATACAAAATTTTTACATTCTTGTTTATAGACTCTAAAAATAGATTTCTTCTTTTATTTTACATTGTAGCAAAATCACCAGTAATCTTAATGCAGAGTGTTAAGCTACAATTTAAGAATTGGTAAGGGCAAGAAATGCCTCATAAGAGCAAAACTAGGAAGGAAAAAAAAGGGAGTCAAAGAAAGAAAAATTCTTGAACATATCAGGACATGATAATGCTTTTCTTTTCATAACTCAATAGATGCTCAAATGTGTGGCAAAACTGGCTATTACTGTGATTTGGGAGAATGTAAAAGAATGTGGTGTTTGGTTTGTTTTAAGGGATCCTTTCACATTTTCATTGCTGCTGAAATTTTAGCAGAGCTTTACCTTTGATCAGAATTATATCTGGCTCCTATGAGAATTAGAGCTTTGATGAACTGCTGATTGACCTAGAGGTAATCCCGACATTTAGGGGAGAACCAGCAATCCGTGAATGGCCTGATATATGTAGCAATGGAGAAGGTGAGGCTGCCATGTGTTGCTTCAGCTGCATACACTGCACATTAAAATTCTGTCATGGCAGGGTCATATTTCTCAGCTCTTATCCTTCCACCCAGGGAATGAAACCTTCTTAACAATGCAGACACAGAAACAGACATTCTCTCTGTAGCGTCATAACAGTGTATCTGTTCACCTATATCAGCACATTCATTTGAACCTAGTTATCGATTTAGGATGACTATATAATTCATTTTAGTGGTGAGAAGTCTCCACAGTGCATAAAATGGGGGCCTTGCTTGCTTACAAAAAAACATATGGCAGCCAACACATTGGCTAGGGAGAAAGTAGTTAATTCTAGGTTTTCCTCTCTAGCTGAGCCTTAGAGGAATGTAAAATACCTTACCACACACGTGTTGGAACAGGACCTGTGTTGCACTCCTCACTTTGTGATTAGATATGCTGCACAGTTTATTCTCCAGGGGACTAGGGACCGTCTAGTTCAGGAAAATACCAGCTCTTGAGTCAGCTTGGCATCTTTGACCACATAACTGGGTACCCACCAG